TTGTGTAAATGCTTGGCCTCTCATTTTTTCCTTTTCAAATATATTCAACCTGGCTAGAAAACCAGTCTGAAAGAAAGCTCAGCAGGGATCTCAGATAAAGCACAAATTTTCTGGGTTGGAAAGGATGAACAAAGCATATAAGAATAGATGTGTGGTGCATTTTTATTCTAAAATTTCCACAAAAGTCAGGTTTTTTTTTTTTTTTTTAAGTTGGTAGTCTTGTTCACTGGTGCTAAATGGAACAGTTTTATCGATTGAGGAAACTGTCACCTTGAGAAAGCATTACTAAATGCAGTGAAGCCTGACTTTGGATTCTGGTTTGGTACCCACTCCCCATCCTCCCTACCCCTTAGCTCTTTCTTCCTCAGAAATTGCAATCTGCAGGTGTCTGAATGAAAAGTACTTATGGGTCACAGAAACAGTGTCAACAATTTCACAAGATTACTGCAATTTAAAGCCTGAAAAATCACATTACAGTTCAAATCACACTGGCCCCACCAATTTTGCACAAATGATGTTGTGACAAGCTCAGAGGTTTTGGATTTCATAAGAATTATTTTAAAATATCTCCTAACAATCTGAAACTGATTTGCCAGAACAGCAGCATTTTCTAAAATGCTTTATGCTAAGCTTGCAATGAAGTTTTCTTTCTCAGCAATTATCTTTCCAGAAGCACATTAACAGCTTGCTCCTCCATATGAATCAACCAGGCCACTCAGGTGAAAGAATAGCTTTTGTAAATTCAGAACAGTGCCTAGGTCAGTGGTTCTCAGCCCTGGCTGTACATTAGAATCATCTGGTAGCTTTTTAAAAATAACTATGTCTGGCCCTTTCTGATTAATTGATATGAGATGGGAACTTGGCAAGGTATATCTTAAAAGCTCCCCCAGATGATTCAAACATGCAGACAAGATTAAGAACCACTAGCCTACATCAAGAATAGCTTGGGCTCGGCTTCCATCAACACCTATTTCTTTTTAGGGTCTTAATCTGAACTGAAGGCTATGAAGCACACTCGCTTAGTTATCTAGTGCTGCTATAACAGAAATACCACAAGTTGATGTCTTTAACAAACAGAAGTTTATTCTCTCACAGTCTAGTAGGCTAGAAGTCTGAATTCAGGGCACCAGCTCCAAGGGAAGGCTTTTTCTCTCTTTTGGCTCTGGGGAAGGTCCTTGTCATCAATCTTCCCCAGTCGAGAATCTTCTCAGCACAGGGACTCCAGGTCCAAAGGACATGATATGCTCCCAGTGCTTCTTTCTCGGTGGTATGAGGTCCCCCTGTCTCTTCTCTCTTTTATATCTCAAAAGAGACTGGCTTAAGATGCAACCTAATCTTGTAGATTGAGTCCTGCTCCATTAACATAACTGCCGCTAATTCCACCTTATTAACATATACACAGGATTTATAACACGTAGGAAAATCACATCAGATGACAAAATGGTGGACAATCACACAATACTGGGAATCATGGCATAGCCAGGCTGACAGATATTTTGGGGGGACACAGTTCAATCCATGCCACTCTCCTCAGCCCAAGAGCTAATTGAAAGAGGAAAAAAAAAAAAACTGGTAACAACCATGTATGTTTTCAAGTTGCTGTTGTGTGCCATGGAGTCAATTTCAACTCATAGCAACCCTACGGGACAAGGGAGATCTATCCCATAGGGTTTCCTAGGCTGTAGTCTTTCTGGGAGCAGCTCACCACATCTTTTCTCCCAGGGAGAGCCACTGGTGCTCAAACTGCCAACCTTTCAGTTAGCAGCCAACCACTAAACCACTGCACCACCAGGACTCCTTAAATGCTTACAAATCAGTCATGTTGAAAATAAAATTAACCATTCCTATAACCCTTTTCACTAAAGTTACATTTGATTTTTGCTGTCAGGATAGATTCCCCCAAGTCATATTTGTGCTCTATAATTTTCCAGAAATCCAAATATCGGCCCCAAACTAATCTCCCAGACTGTCCCCTACACATTGGACAGCAAAAATTTTTTCGGATCACATCTTTTACTTCTTGGTTTTGAAGAATATTAACCCCAGATCTACCTGTAGTGTCAATACCTTTACTCCCCACCCCACCCCATCCCGGCCTTTTTTTTTGGCCCAACCTTCAAAAACCACAAGTGCCACGTAATTTAAAATTCAATTTTTTCCTAATATGAATTTACAATCTATCACTTTTTCAGCAGTTCTACTGCCTTTTAACCTTTTATCCACTTTGGGACCTGTTTCCCTAACCACCGTGGTGAATAGAACTGCTTCTTATACTTTGGAGCGTTTTTTGTTGTTTTTTCGTTGTAGTATCACAGTTTCCAGAACAAAGGCTCACAATACGTTTGGGTTTCCACTATCAAATTATAACTTTCTGACACTCTTTCCCTCTCCATCTCTTCTCATTGAGCTCTCTCCCCAGCCCTACAACTCCTTTTTATCTGACTACTGAGTATTTATCATCCTACCAAGCATTCTCAGACGTTGTTGACTTTTCAATTTTGAGATTCTATGACACGTGCTAAACAAAAAGAGCTAGGTACAAAATTCCTGTCCTTGTGGTTGGTTTTGGCTGTTCTGCCTGTTTATCTTCTCTCGCCTTGTCTCCCTCCTCAAAGTCTAAAAGATTACCTTTCTATCTGGACAACTTCCACAAACAGGCTTCTTTCCAGACAGCATCCCACCTCTAACCAATCCCATTCCCTCTTCAGAAGCCCATTTCTAACCACTGGTTCTTATTCTAAGATGGCCGCCACAAAGCGAAGAAAAGAAGTGTGAGTTCCACCCAATCGCAGCCACCATCATTTTGAGCGCCCGAGTACGAGGGGCCCGAAGGAGAAGCGCCAGAAGAGGAAGAGCCCTAGAAGCCCACAGCCGCACTCGCAGACCCACGCTCCTAGCTTCCCGACCAGAGCCAAGACTACCCGTCACAGGAAGTGGCGGGGCCCCACCCCTTAACGTCAGGGGCCGGAAGTGAGCGTTGCTGGGGCGCTGATGTAGGGCAGAGGCGATCGTGAAGAGAGTGTGTCTCGACAGACATAGGTAAGGCGCCCTGGCCCTGGCTTGGCGCCTCCGAACACTTCACCTTTAGTGTACTGGTATTATTACTCTTTCCACCTTAGTGTATCTTCACTACCTAACAACCTTTTCTTTTCCGTTTCCGCCCGTAGCCTTAAGCCTTGTGGGTTCTCTGCGCAGCTGTTTTGACTACCGGACTGTTCCTCCATCGTCCGCTCAAGGGCGTGCCCAGCTCCTTTTTCTATACTCTTTCGAGTTAACCAGCTTCTGCGACCTTCTTCTGTTTAGTCCCATTGCTTAAATCGGTTCTGATTTTGTTTGTATGTTTGTTTAAAGGAGGAAAACACGAACGGACTGCTTCATTTACTGAGGTCCCAAGCTCTGTTTAGAGTTTAACCAGTTGCTTTCGACTACTTCCGGCCCCTAAACTTGATTGCTTCGCATAGTTGGTCGATTAAACCGCAGTGTAGTACTAGGAAAAAGGTAAAGATGTAAAGAATCACCTGTTAACAGACTCAGAAGATACTTAAATGGACCTTGCTGAAATGTAAGGCTGTGAATTCCAGTGCCCATAGTCTTTTTGCCCCCAAAGGATATATTGACGGCCTACAGGCTTCTAAATCTGACTCCTTTAAATGCCTTAAAATCAGAACATAATAATTGGTTCTTCCCTTCAAGCCCCTTATTTTTGATGAAAAACGGTAAAGCAAGTATATATAAGTAAAACATGTCAAAAAGGAGGGTCAAGATTTTTCAATCCAGACCTGAAAAATTCACTTTTTAAGACAGTTTCACTAAAGATTGTCATTAACAAATGGGCTCTGTAGCAATTTACTGAACTAGAGTTCCAGCTGATCACTTGCATTTCCTATCATAGGTTCCAAGGCTGCTTATGTCATAGAATGGGGTGAAGGGGTGTAGAATTGTGTGAGTGGCCAAAGGAGAGCTTGCTCTAGAGACAGTAGCTGTAAATCTATCTTCTGTTTTTTTAGGTTTTCTGTGGGAGTGGTTTTATATAAATTTTATTTTTCCTCATAATGATGTTTGCTTAATTGTGCCCAATAGGGACTCTGGTAGAAGAGGACACAAACTACAAAATCATTCGTCACCCTTTAATCTTTTGCATTTCTGCTGCACACTTGCTTTATGGCTGTGTTATCCATAAAATGAATAGTGCTTAAGTCCTGATATTCAGAAGTTTTCTCTCAGTACACAGAGGGAATGAGTATTAACTAGAGAGACTTAAATAACCAAGTCTTTATATTTTAGCGTAGAAGGTTTGGGGCAGAGGAGGCGAAGCATCACTGAAAAAGGGTAAGGAGGAGAATATTATTGTGGCACTTCTCGATCATGTTAAAGAAAAGTCATGGAAATGGCAAACTAGAATGTCTCTGAGCATATCGGATGGGTTAAGTGTATACTGTCTGGCATAGGCCTCCAGAATCCCCATGTTCCAGGGAGGAGCAAGACTGCAGCCTGCCCATCCTGTATTTTTAAGTACTTGAAAGTTTTAAAATAGTATCCTGTTTCTATGTTTATCCAGATGCTTAAATAGCACAGTACTCTTGTGGTCTTGGTTTGCCCCCTCTATCATTAAATAGCAGCAAATCCTAATAGATGGTAAACAGTGGCAGGTTGTTGTAATAACAGTTAAATCACTGATATCTTTTCACCTAAATACAGTTTAAATTAGTAGTCATATTTGATTTTTCCTAACTATTGATGGGCTCTAGAATTTATTCCAAGGATATGAGTTAGGCAGTGATATAAAAATGCTTCAGAGAAGTAAAGAATGCTTTAAAGAAGAGAAAATATTGGGGAAGGGATGGGATTTAAAGGTTTATTATGTTGAAGTTGAGTAATTTAAATTCCAGTTTGACTCCACTTCTTAGTGCGATCTTTGGTACATTTTATTTCTGAGTCGCTGAACCATGGCTTTTTTTTTTTTTCCCCCAGCACTTGGATTTGGCTGCTTCATTTCCAACATGGAAGAAACTTACAGTATGTATTTCTTGTTGCTCTTAGAAAATAAGTCAGATTGTTTACATATAGTTTTCTGTCTGACAAGATGTTTAGTGTGTTGGGAAATAGTTCAGTTTCTCCCTGAACTGCCGGGGAGAAAAAGTCTGTTGTGGTAGGGACATATAGAAGTGCCCAAATTTGAAATAAGACACTTGAAATATGAATGATTAAATAGGTATGAGAAGTCCTAGAGCTTTGAAAAGGCTATAGTCAGGACACCTGTGTTAAACTGTATTACATGAGGCATTTTCAACCACTCAGAACCTCAGTTTCTCCTTGTATGACATGGAAATAGTAACCTCTCTATTTTGAGGGATAATATAGCATATATAATAATGTAATCAAGTTTTTAGGTTAAAGAAATACTGGGGAGAATTCTTATTTCTCAAGTGATCCAGAAACCTTAGTGCAGGAAATCAAAGGGGAGCCAGCACTAGAATCATACAAGTGTGGAACGGAAAGGGACCTGAAAAATCATTTAATTTAACCCTCAAATTTTACAACTGAGAAAATAGAGTCTAGATTGATTTGCCCAAGGTCAGATAGTTGTTAGGGACAGAGTCAAAACCAGAGTCTTGTATGTTGTTTATACCAGGGCTTCGAACTGGTTTGTTCCAGTTTGACCTCCTCCTGAGAATTTCCATTTCCACCCCCAGATATACTGAATCAGAATCTACATTTCAACAAGATCCCCCGGTGATTCTTAACAAGATTCAGTATATCTGGGGTGGAAATGCAAATTCTCAGCAGAGAGGTGAACTAGAGCGAACCGGTTTGAAGCCTTGGTTTATAGTTGATACCACACAAGGCACAGTGATTTCTAGGCGCTGACCAAGTTTGAGGAACACCTGAGTGATGCTTATGGGCCTACTTTGTTCCCTGCTTTGCTGTTCTGTCCAGAATCTCATAATAATTATTAAGTTCCAACTAAAGGAAATTTTAACCCCAGTCTCCCTTCTAGGAAGAGTCTGATGGAAATCTTCATCACCAAAATATAGAAACTTTGTGGAAATAGTCTTTATTAAATATCTAGAACAGTGGTCCTCAAACTAGCATGCAGCAAAATCACCTAGAAGACTTGTTAAAACATGTTGCAGGACCCAACCCCAGAATTTCTAATTCAGAAGGTTGGGGTGGAACTTGAAAATTTGTGTTTCTAACAATTTTCAGATGATGCTGATGCTGCTGCCCTTAGGACTACATTTTGAGAATCATTGCTGTAGAAGGATCATTCTCTTTGTTCTTCCCTAGGTTTCCTCTCCTCCTTAATTTTTCTTAGAATGCATTTACTTAAAATCTAAAGTCCTGTGTAGTATGTGTTTACCCTTAGAAACTTACTACTCTGTTAAATTAGAAAACAACCTGTCTCCTTTCTCTCTCACTTACTTTTCTCAGCCACAATATTTTTCTTACAATATTTTTTCTTAGAAAAATATAACCTACGAATGCATTATAAATGCACAATCCTGGGCCCTGTCCCACACCTAGTGAATCAGAATCGGTGTTTTGACACAGTCCCCAAGTGATTTAACACCTAAGGAAACACTGCCTTAGAATATTCTTGACCATTTTCCCAAACTGACCTGGAACTCCAACCATACATAATCTGATTCCTGAATCTAATTCCTGAAGATTTCCAATTTATGTCTTGGAGCTGTACCTCTTAGCTAATCATACTTTTGCCAGGCCTGGTTCTTTATTTATTTCCATGATGTATCCTCCATCTCTTACCAGGGGTTCTAGGCCCTGCCCAAGTTTGTACTTGTGGGGGAACCTTATCAAGCCTACTTGTTTTCCAAATTAAGATACATTCCCAGAGAGCAGGACATAAATTTTACAGAGCATTGTGATAGATTTATTACAACTTAAAATGGACATACCCTTCAGTGCAGCACTTTTAGGTGTCTGCACTAGGGAAATGCTTACACAGTACACAAAGAAGTGTATACTAGATTGTTAGTCACAGCACTGTATATAGTAAAAAACTGGAAACAACCTAAATGTCCATCAGTAAGGGAACTGATTAAGAATCTGGTACATCCATATACAGCAATGAAATATTCCTTATATGTACTGACATGGAAAGAGCACCAAGATACATTAACAGAAAAAAAGTTATAAAACAGAAGGTACACTGTGATCACATTTGTTTAATATATATATAGATAGATACACACATATCCATATAAACAAAATATATGTACATATCATGCATAGAAAAAGTTTGGTAACTTGGGTTACCCTGACATGGTTACAGACTGGTAACTGTGGTTCCTCCGGGGAAGGAAGGATTAAATAAGACCCAAAAGGAACCTTCACTTAATGTATGTTGAGTTTTTTCCAATAGAAATATATTGATGTATTCAGTTATTAAAAATGTTTTTTAATCTAGACAAACCAGATTAGAACTAAGTTACTGGAGACCAAGAAGTAAAGCATTATAGTAGGAAGAGAGCATTATCAACTCTGACGTATGCCACTGTATGGACAGTATAATGTGTGTGAATCATAAGATAGATCTAGTCTGTCAGCTGCTGACATAACCTAGCATTTGCTAGGGATGGAATGGATTAAATGAAGGGAAACTAATAACAATTTCATCTGTAAACTCTCTCTGGGTGTCCTGAAGCTTCAGAAATATAAAAAGATTGCTGGTCAGAAGGAGCCTGGTTGGCATAATAAGCTTGCCTGTCCTCTCAGACTTTTTCTTCCTATTCATTCTGTCCTTCGAGTCACCTTTCTGGCTCATTTGCATCACGATCATGGTTAGCAATTTATTCCATGTTTACCACTCTTCCAGTGAAACTGTCTGTTTCAATTCCCCACTGGCTTCTGATTTTCATAGCAGTCTCCTGGTTTACAAGCTTCTTATCAAATGTGAATTGTTTATCTTATTTCATTTTTATCATTCCCCTCAGTGGTGGCAAGAGCATTTTATTAAGTTGCCTCTTGTCCTCATAATATACTCAGAATGTGCTTAACCATTTGATTTCCCTTCCTTAACCAGGCTTGTTTAAATTTGGGGCTCAAAATGGAACAACCGGAATGGAAATAATGAGAGTGTTCATGCATTGTGAAGAATATAACCAACCACTGAACAGTTTGTGTAGAAATTGTTGAATAGGAACCTAAACTGCTGTGTGAACCTTCACCAAAAACAAAATATTATTTTAAAAAAAATTGAGGGCTCAGCCTAGGCATCTTGTAAAACCTAAGAGAAGTTTTAAATAGCTTTATGTAGGTTAGGGGCTTTAACACAGCAGCTCCATGTGTCTGCAGTTGTCTTAACCTCAGGAGGTTCTATTTTTGCAGATGTTTGGCTTTTTAGCTGGCCAAGTTGGCAATCACTAAAGAAATTTTTTTCTTTCAAAATATCGAAGTAACCTCTCTGATAAAGGTATTGGTTTCATTTGAGAGGTAACTAGGAACTTATATAGTATATAGGAGTAAGTTAAAGCAAACAGGTGAAAAAGAAATCTATCAACTAATATTTCTCAAGCTTCTCTACAACAGATATAGAGCAGTGCTTCCCAACTTTTTTCATATCACGGCAGGAATGCTAGTGAAAGAGATTAACTACACTCAACTTGCCCTAGGACTTGGGGTTGAGGGGAGAATGCGTGCAGGTGCAGAGAGCTCCTGCATTGATTTATTGACACACCTGCAGGCCATTCAAGCTTTAATATATTGGTTGGGAAGCTCTGGCTGAGCTAGCTAGAGAATAGGAGTGACACTGAATTAGCACTTTCAGAAAAGGAAAAGAGGTGGTCTTTTCATTTAACCTTTTGTTTTTATAGTGAGGGTAACTAACAATGAGAACAACCATATGTACAACAAAATATGAACTAAGACCCCATCCCATGATGGTTGTGCTGGATTTATTAAGATTCACTGATAATACAGTTTTATCTACTTAGAGTTATATTTTCATTTTTAACTGTTTAGTCATCCTTTTAAAAAATCCCAAGTTGTCCTTAAACTGTATTGTTCTATTCTTATAGATTCTGTTGAAAAATCCAGTATGCCTAGAATGCTGTAGTTTCACAAGGACCTGTTATTCTCTATACTTATGTATTTTTCTCTCTTTCAGTCGATTCCCTGGACCCTGAAAAGCTATTACAATGCCCCTATGATAAAAACCACCAGATCAGGGCCTGCAGGTTTCCTTATCATCTTATCAAGTGCAGAAAGGTAGAGTATTGTTTTCATCGTTTGTCCTCTAATGTCCTCCTGAGTTCTCTTAAAAAGCCAGATTTTATAAACATGAAATCATTTTAGTATAAATGTTTTCATTGAATGTCAGAATTGTTTTGGGAATCTGCCTCTTTGTTAAATGCCAACATTTATAGAAAAGAGTTTGTTTATTCCTTGGGCTACACAGTTTTTTCTTGTTTTGATTTTTTTTTACCCCCTAACTAGTGACAAAGCACCTTTTATAAATAGCTTCTTTGGAGTCTTTTCACCCTTTGTAAAACAAAAGAAACAGTAATTTTTGCTAGCAGTGAGAAATCCCTCATGATGTGAATTTGATGTGTTCATTTTCCCAGAATAAAAGGATTGAGTACTATAACATACTTATTTCTGAGATTTGTTTGTTCAGAAATTTTAGAGATTTTGGGTTGAACATCTAAAGGACAGCCCCCAAAATGATTATTCCTAAAAATAACTGTCTTCAAGTGTCTACAGTAAGTATCCTTGTGGGCTGGTGGGACCTCATCAGATTTTCTCTCTGGTCACTCTTTTATAGACTTAGCTGATGTAAACTGCTTCAATGCTGATACATTACTTGAGGCACTTTGAAAGAGCTGTTAAAATGCAGATATCAGACACAGAGGCCAAAATTCTGCCAGGATTTACGCTTGGAAAATAATTTTGGTAGTTAATCCAAGCTGCATAGAATTCATATTTAATATCTTTAAAGGATGTTTCTCTTACAATGCTGGAGACATTCGTACTGCCTTTGTTGATTATTTCTCTAGCTCTTTTTAATCTCTAGAGCAAGGATCCCTTAAGGTTAAACCTGGACAATATGGATCAGAATATATCACCATAACTTCTTCCCCTAGTCTCCCAAACGTTTCCCTAGGGTAGGTTGGGAAAGCGAGTCAAGTGGTAAAAGACAGTGCCCTAACTCCCCTCTTCTAGTGCTCTTAGTCTTTGACCACAAAACCTTTGGGAGGGAACACCTGATATCCCTTATGAAAATGATGGAGATTTCTGCCCTTATGAGTTTCTCAGGCCTGTGTTTTTTTCCAGCCTTCTCCCCGTTTCACATTGTTTTTACTTTTTTGAGAATCATTTATGACATTGATTATAAATAAATATAATAAATGAATATAATCAGTTTTAAAATAAGGAACTTGGTCAGCAGAGTAGACAATACCATTTAGTCTTTTTCTTAGTGAAATGGCTGAAATAAAGGTCAAATTGTTCAGAGCCTCACTTCAGGCATCATTACTTTAAACAGGTGTCCCCGTGTTAATCTGAAAAATCATTGGTTTGCCTCTTCTGCAGCTCCCTTCCGACAGCTATTTTCTAGCACTGTTGTGTAGCAGTAGCAGGGACGCTACTTCAATGCAGACTAAGAGTGGGTTTTAATGTTACTATTCATCTTGAATATCAGCTTTCAAAGACATCCAGAGAGCTCTGCCTCCTGAATCTTGTGACCCTGAGACATAAACGGGAAGAAGGTGTGGTTCAAATACCCTATCCTAAATTCACTGTTGAGGGCTTTATAAGCTACTGTAACCCCAATTATCTGTGTTGTCAGTCTCTACAATTGTAACAAAAATGCCTAAGTTTCAACGATTTAAGTAATGACTGTCTGGTCTGCAGGAGCAGTAAATAATTACCTCTCAGTTTTCTGCTATGAGTTTGTCTACCATAGTTAAGCCACAAATTTATTGAGGGGAGCCATTTGTAGAATAAGGCTGAGCCACTCCCCTTGTGCTTTAACAGATCCAAAGAACTGACAGACCCCTTAATTTTGTTTCCATAGAATCATCCTGATGTCGCAAACAAATTGGCTACTTGTCCCTTCAATGCTCGACACCAGGTTCCTCGGGCTGAAATCAGTCATCATATCTCAAGCTGTGATGATAAAAGTTGTATTGAGCAGGATGTTGGTAAGACTGACTAGCTAAGATGTTTTAACACTAGAGGTTAGCCCCTCGAAATTTGTATTTTACATTCTTGGCTTGATTTTTGACTTTCATCATTTCAGAAGAACAATATTTTTCTGCCTTTGAGATTTTTATCTCCTAGCAGCAATAGATTGTCAGTTTGTGTTTGTCAGACTACTTTCTCTTGTGAACAACTTGATTCATTTTACTAATAATTAATCTAAAAATAAAAATCCTTTTATTGCCATAAATATGGTAAACATCTTTGTCTCATACTTCTCTTTGTCTCTGTCAGCAAGGAGATAAGACCCCTCCCCCACCCGTTTAACTTTCATACTATTCATTTTTCAGAAACAAAGACCCGTTATACTACTCTGCAACCTTCTAAGTCACTAACTCCTTTAAGTACAATAACTTAGCAATGTCCCATTCTTATGTTGGAATCTCTTGTTTTGCAGTCAACCAAACAAGGAACCTTGGACAAGAGACTGTGGCTGAGAGCACATGGCAGTGCCCTCCTTGTGACGAAGACTGGGATAAAGGTAAAGTGCCTCTACATCTTTTTCTCCACAATGTCTAAATCTCAAATCATTTGCTTAAGACAGAAGGAAGATTTTCCTTTTATGAACATACCATGTTGTTTGGAATGCCTTGTTATTTTTATTGGGCCCCAAAACGAGCACATTTGTATCCCTGTACAGACACATGGAACAGCCTATCCCTCTTGATTGGAAAAAGAACTTCTTTACATCTGTTTTTTTCTATAAATTGTGTTGTACCATCTGTGTTTGGTTGTTACAAGGCACATTTATTATTATTTATGTTGCTTGTTTTTATATCCTTCAATTAAATGCCTGCTACTATGTGACTTAGGCAGGGTACTTGATCAGTTTTTACTTGCTTCTCTAAATTCAGGTGTATTCCCATCTTAAAAATTCGACTAGCATGAACTGGTGTCTTACCTTGTAGTACCACAAACTGTGTTTTGCTTCCTTTGACAGATTTGTGGGAACAGACCAGCACCCCGTTTGTCTGGGGCACAGCCAACTACTGTGGCAACAACAGGTAAATGAAATGATTGTATTCCCAACTCCCAAAATCAGAGTGCTCCACTACCCAGAGAAGCCACCTAAACATGAATTGACCTCTTTCCTTGATGTTCCTCGGTGGTAACTTAGTCTAGATTTTGTTTTGTTGTGTGGGTTGTTTTTTTCCCCTTATATATTCATATAAAGGTTGCATGCTTTTTGCTAATCTTTGGGGGGATGTAAAAGATACTTATAGTCTAACAAGGAAGACAAAGTGGCACCAGATATCCTTGTGTCTTAGTTGGTTTCTTTGCTAGGTTCACGTTATTTTAATGCTTTCAAAAAACTCGCCAGCTATACCACTTTTATCATTTTTATTCTAAGTAACTGATGTCTGGGGAAAAAACATGTTTAAAGTCCTTGATTTGAAATTGGGAGATTCCAGACACCTATTCAGTAGAGAAGAAAATGCATCTCTTCTTCCTCTGATTTTTTATCTAATTTAAAACAGTAAGATTTCTCATTAACACCAAGACTCTAGCCTTAGATCGAGTTACAAACCCAAATGAAAATATTTCTGGATTAGAAAATGAAGGAATGAGATTCTAGACATCATTTTTTCTCCAAAATAGGATGCTTATCAATTTTTTATTTCTTAGCTCCTGAGGTCAATTAATAACTGAGTATAGATTATTTTGTGTGTGCACTAAGATAGTAAAACTCAAAGACGAATTTCATTGGTACAACTTTAATTTTACCTCAGTTCTGTGAGATTTGCTGCTTTTGGTTTAGTTGTCCTGGCATTTTGTTTTATCTCTTACATTGAGTGAGTTGATGAGCTGTCATACAGCTGAACAGTAGATGGCATTGCTGTTTATCTTAATTTCTAGAAAATGAAAATGCTTAAATCCATCTTAATGCCTGTACAGAACAGTAAGCTTTCCAGAGATGTGGTAATCATTTTAATTGCAGGAATGTTGTGATGGAATTGTGTTTGCATTTCAGATGAATGTAGGTTGTTGTTTTCCTCAAATGACAAAAAACACATTTTGATTTTCTTGTGTGTGCCTGCCTGAAGAATATAGATATGCCTGCATGGTCAAATTTTTCTTTATTTTTGCAGCCCTGCAAGCAACATAGTTATGGAACATAAGAGTAACCTGGCTTCAGGCATGCGCGTTCCCAAGTCTCTGCCGTACGTTCTGCCATGGAAAAACAGTAAGTGAAATAGAGGCAAAATGATGCTTTTAGTCTTTTCATTATGCTGGTCTTGATTATGCAAAGACATGTTCAGTTTGAAAACCTTGCACTTGTATGACCTTGAAAGTGAGTGCTTCCTTAAATTTTGCCCCCTAAGCACCTCACTCACACCTCACCCTACTGCTGGCGCTGGTTAAGAACAAAAAATTATAAACAGGAAAGTATAAACAAGAAATCACAGAAGGCAAAATAATAGTTTAAAGATGGAATGACTGTTGACATCAAATACCGTTGGTAAATTCAAGGACCAATAAAAAGACTACTGATTTTGGCTAAGAGGAAGTCATCCCCTGACTTTCAAGGCGCAACATTAATAGGGAATTGGGACTAGAAATTGGATTGCAGGAACCTAAAAGGAAATGGGTAGAAAAAAAATGAAAGTAACGGGTCATAAGAACCAGCATAAGGAGTGCCACTCATACGTCCTCCCTAGACACGAAACACCATGCTGAGTAAACAGGTACTAAATTGGTATCATACCATGCACCATGTGTGATAAAGAAATTCTCACGTATGGCGTACTCAGGGTATTAAGTCATTTCATATATTGCAAGCTTTCTTTTCCTGGTGGTACCACTAAATTCAGATTCCCTTCATTTCAGTCTTTGCTACTGTTGGAGCTAGTTTTTAGGTGGCTAGAAGATTCCCTTTAAAACATTTCTCTTTGGATACTTGTATCTCCCAAAAAATGAAATTGCCAAATTATATGCCAAAAGACTTGATAGGTGTTCTCTTTTCCCAAGCTCTTGAGTAGAATCCAATCACTAAATTTAAATTCTACTTTTAAATTGTAATTCAGTATATCCCAGAAATAAGTCATTTGTGTTTAGTAAGACTAGGGGATGGAATGAATGTCAGTTGACATGGTGTATTTATTTTGAAATATTTCTGCTCCATAGATGGAAATGCACAGTAACTGAACATCTATCTCATCAAGTAAGTGTTTCAGTTTTATTTCACTATCTCTTCAGATGGCAGCAAGATTTAACTGGACATAAAGCAGTTTGGGTCCAATTTTCTTTCAGATTATGGTACCAAATTAAAGCTTCGTGTGTACATGTGTGTTTTAAGTATATAGCCTCTGTTATGGCTTTACACACTAATGAATAGGCATTTACTAGTTAAATTAGAATTCTGTTAACATACCAAGTTGTTTTCCCTAACGTTAGTACACAGTGCTTTTTTTTTCTTTTATATATATATCACAAAGTTTCATTCTAGATCTATCACGCCTCTTTAATGGACTGAGATTAATCAGATAGCTGTGCTTCACTGCTCTGTAATTCTTTCCCTGTGCAGTACAGTTTAACACTCATCAAAAAATTCATACTTTTTAATGAGCACTTAAAAGTTTTGGGTCTCTAAGAGTCTTGCACTTTTTATCTTCTCTGAGTATTTGATTTCACAGAACCCCATAAAATCTATACAAAGAGACCAGAATCTTTCCCAGACAAACCTCTCCTTGAGGTTACCTATGCACAGAGCCAAGTATGATGCCTCAAAAATGCTGTCTTGGCTGAGGTTGCCCAGTCACGTGCTCCTGGCAAAGGAATGTGGTAAAGGCTGGAAATGGAATTATATCCCCCACTGTCTTGCAGATAGTAGGCCTTCAGTGAATATTTACTGAATGAATGAATACTTGGTCTCTTGCCTTCCAGTTCATTCACTCTTCTCTGGACAGTGAAGCAAATGGATCTGTGAGTTAAGATTCATTTTGTACCAAAACTGATGTTTCTTCTAGTGAAAAGTAGAAAAGAGATACTAAAAGCAAACACTCTACCTATGAATACTTAATATTTATCGGCTGCTTCTAGGTACCAAATTGTTAAATACATGTAGAAGCCAGAAAATGGGATTTGGCCCTACAAGTGAGAGACCCAATAGTAGTAGAGTGTGTCAGGAAAGCACATATTGAGTAGACCTGGGTAAGTGGTGAACTTTGAGTTCCTCTCTGGCATACTGCATAGGATGTGTGGTGATCATATAGTATGGATACTACCTAACGAAAATGGCTGCTCTAAAATGAAAACCTAGGAGAAACTTCTATCTATAAAACATAACACCACCAAAAAGAAGAAAGGGCCAAAATCAAAACATTAACCCTACACCTCGAACAAATAGGAAGAGAGCAGCAAAAGAAGCCCTCGAGAACCAGAAGAAAGCAAATAATAAAAATTAGAGAATTAAATGAATTAGAAAATAGAAAAACAGTTGGAAGAGTTAACAAGACCAAAAGCTAGTTCTTTGAAAAGATCAACAAAATTCATAAACCGTTGGCCAAACTGACAAAAGAAAAACAGGAGAGGAAGCAAATAACCCAAATAAGAAATGAGATAGACGATATCACAACAGACCCAACTGAAATTAAAAGAATCATAACAGAATACTATGAAAAATTGTACTCTAACAAATATGAAAACCTAGAGGAAATGGACAGATTTGTAGAAATACACTACCTACCTAAACTAACACAAACAGAGGTAGGACAACTAAGTAAATCTGTAACAAAAGAGATTGAAAAGGTAATTAAGAACTCCCAACAAGAAAAAGCCCTGGCCTTGATGGTTTCATTGGAGAATTCTACCAAACTTTCAGAGAAGCGTTAACACCACTACTACTAAAGGTATTTCATAGCACAGAAAAAGATGGAGTATTCCTCCCAAACTCATTCATTGAAGCCAGCATAACCCTGATACCAAAACCAGGTAAAGATACTACAAAAAAAATTACAGACCAATATGCCTCATGAGCGTAGAGGCAGAAATCCTCAACAACATTCTAGCCAATAGAATTCAACAGCATATCAAAAAAATAATTCACCATGACCAAGTGAGATTCATACCAGATATGCAGGGATGGTTCGACATTAGAAAAACAATCAATGTAATCCATCACATAAATAAAAGACAAGAACCACATGATCGTATCAATTGATGCAGTGGATGCAGAAAAGGCATTTAATAAAGCCCAACACTGATTCGTGATAAAAAAAAAAAACTCTCAGCAAAACAGAAGTAGAAGGGAAATTCTTCAGCATAATAAAGGACATTTATACAAAGCCAACAGCCAACATCATCCTAAATGGAGAGAGTCTGAAAGCATTCCCCTTGAGAATAGGAACCAGACAAGGATGCCCTTTATCACCACTCTTATTCAACATTGTGCTGGAGGTCCTAGCCAGAGCAGTTAGGCTAGAAAAAGAAAGTGCATCCAAATTGGTAAGGAAGAAGTAAAAGTATCTCTGCTTGCAGACGATATGATCTTATACACAGAAAACCCCAAAGAAAACTACTGGAACTAACAGAAGATTTCAGCAAAGTATCAGGATACAAGATAAACATACAAAAATCAGTTGGATTCCTCTACACCAACAAAGAGAACTTCAAAGAGGAAATCACCAAATCAGTACCATTTACAGTAGCCCACAAGAAGATAAAATACTTAGGAGTAAATCTAACCAGAGACGTAAAAGACCTATACAATGAAAACTATAAGACACTACTGCAAGAAACCGAAAGAGACCTGCATAAGTAGAAAAACATACCTTGCTCATGGATAGGTAGACTCAACATTGTGAAAATGTCAGTTCTACCCAAAGTGATCTACAGATAGAATGCAATCCCAATCCAAATTCCAATGGCATCTTTTAATGAGATGGAGAAACAAATCACCAACTTCATATGGAAAGGGAAGAGGCCCCGGATAAGTAAAACATTACTGAAGAATAACAAAGTGGGAGGCCTCACACTACCTGATTTTAGAATGTATTATACTGCCATGGTAATCAAAACAGCCTGATACTGGTACAACAACAGCTACATAGACCAGTGGAACAGAATTGAGAATATGGAAGTAAATTCATCTACCTATGAGCAGCTGATATTTGACAAAGGCCCGAAGTCCATTAATTGGGAAAAAGATAGTCTCTTTAACAAATGGTGCTGCCATAACTGGATATCCATCTGCAAAAAAATGAAACAAGACCCATACCTCACACCATGCACAAAAACTAACTCAAAATGGATCAAAGACCTAGATACAAAATCTAAAATGATAAAGATCATGGAAGGAAAAATAGGGACAACACTAGGAGCCCTAATACATGCCATAAACAGAATACAAACCGTAAGTAACAATGCTCAAACACCAGAAGAGAAACTAAATAATTGGAAGCTCCTAAAAATCAAACACTTTGCTCATCAAAAGACTTCACCAAGAGAATAAAAAGATAATCTACAGACTGGGAAAAAAATTTTGGCTATGACAAATCTGGTCAGCATCTAATCTCTAAAATCTACAGGATACTGCAAAACCTCAACAACAAAAAGACAAATAACCCAATTGAAAAATGGACAAAGGATATGAACAGGCACTTCACCAAGAAGACGTTCAGACGGGTAACAGATACATGAGGCAATACTCACAATCATTAGCCATTAGAGAAATGCAAATCAAAACTACAATGAGATACCATCTCACCCCAACAAGGCTAGCATTAATCCAAAAAACACAAAATAATAAATGTTGGAGAGGTTGTGGAGAGACTGGAACACTTATACACTGCTGGTGGGAATGTAAAATGGTACAGCCACTTTGGAAATTGATTTGGTGCTTTCTTAAAAAGCTAGAAATAGAAGTACCATACGATCCAGCAATCCCATTCCTTGTAATATATTCTAGAGAAATTAGAGCCATCACTTGAATAGATACATACCCACCCATGTTCGTTGCAGCTCTGTTCACAATAGCAAAAAGATGGAAACAACCTAGGTGCCCATCGACAGATGAATGGATAAACAAATTATGGTATATTTGCACAATGGAATACTATGCAACAATAACAACGGTGAATCTGCAAAACATCTCATAACATGGATGAATCTGGAAGGCATTGTGCTGAGTGAAATTAGTCCAAAAGGACAAATATTTATGAGACCACTGTTACAAGAACTCAAGAAATTGCTTA